ATCAAGACTTCTGACCTCTAGTCAAGCTTTTCCACCCCAGATGGCACCTGGCTTGACTGTGGTAGCTGCTTGATGGCGGTGTTTGTATGTGTTCTATGAAAACACACAAAATCTTTCGCATCAAACCTAGAGTGCATAAATCTGAGAACATGCCCCCTTCTGCAGCCCAGAGCCAGCCATTGTATTATACTCATGCAGCCCTTTCCCTACTCCAGTATGTGGCAAAGCCCTCATGGGGATGACTTTCCATCCAGCATGGAGGATCCTCCCACTGCCCTCCCAACAATACAAGGCCTGCAACAGTGTAGGGAGGTGTGGAGTCAAGCAAGCAGTGTGATTGTATCTGGGGATTTTCCCCTTCTCCAGAAGGATTAACTGGCTCCATCCTTATGTGAATCCAGTGACTAAGAACCCTGGCACTGAGTGGCCTAGCAGCCACATTGGGGCTGGGCTGTGTTCTTGCCCCCCCAAGTTAGCTCCTTGCACACAGCCCATTCTTTATTATTGCCGTTTGGTTATTTATACAGCATTACAGATGTGCATGGTACTTTACAGACAAATAAGAGTGTCCCTCCCCCACTGCCTTGGCGTATTTTGCCCCAAAGGCCAGTCTATGTTGCTTAATATATGGAGATATGCCTATCTCATAGAGCTGGAAGGGACCCTGAAAGGTCGTCGAGTCCAGCCCCCTGCCTTCACTAGCAGGACCAAGCACTGATTTTGCCCCAGATCCCTAAAGGGGCCCCCTCAAGGATTGAACTCACAACCCTGGGTTTAGCAGGCCAATGCTCAAACCACTGAGCTATCCCTCCCTACTGCACAGAGATGTCGTGAGGAGTCACACTCACACTCACACTCTCTCTCTCTCTCTCCACATCGGTACAACATATGCTAGGGGTTTGCACTGGAGTAGCTATGCCAGTATAAATATCCCTACATAGACGCTCCCTGAGTAAATTGGGTATATGTTACTCTGTCAATTACTTCCCTTCTATTGTCGGTCTGTTATTACGTGATGGATTACTGTATCTATGGCAGTTTGCTTTGATCCTCGTTAATTTTATGAAAAGAGCTGTTCAGTGAATTGTACTGCTGGCTTCTTACTTATGTCACTGTTTGGGATGTCTATCACTCTGAATATAGCAAAAAAATACACAGCTTACCAGTGAAATAAACGTAACCATAGTGTTTCCAGCTTTTGGGATTTCATCAAGAGATTAGGTGTTTTTCTTGAAGCTCCAGATTCTGATTTTATGTGAATACCTGAGAATCTCAGCTTTCTTACTTTACAAAAAAAAAAATCTTACTGTCGTGGTGGTGCAGAAAAACTTGAAAATATGACCCCTCAAAGCTTCAGAACCAGAAAGCAAATTTAAAAGACCCAACGTTTCTTATTTCAAAATCTCATGATTTTAGGCCAATCTGATGATTTTGGGGAGCTTGATTCATGGTTTATGAATGCATAGGGTTGGCAATACTGTAACCACGATGTTCTGCTTCTTGTGCATTATAGGCAGGATACATTGATCCATATAACATAAGGCCACTCTGCAATTTTGACTATTTTACTTTGTTTTATATAGTTGATTCTGTGGAACATTTTATCTAAATTTTCATATCAGTCATTTGCAGCATGGTTAATGGGTAACACTTTAAAGTACGCTAACTTATCTGTACTATAATAATAATTAATACTTTGTTAACATAAACTACTTTTAAATAATAAATGATCATTCTATTCCAGGGGTAGGCAACCTATGGCATGCGTGCCAAAGGCGGCTCACGAGCTGATTTTCAGTGGCACTCACACTGCCCGGGTCCTGGCCACAGGTCCGGGGGGCTCTGCATTTTAATTTAATTTTAAATGAAGCTTCTTAAACATTTTAAAAACCTTGTTTACTTTACCTACAACAGTAGTTTAGTTATATATTATAGACTTATAGAAAGAGACCTTCTAAAAACGTTAACATGTATTCCTGGCACGCGAAACCTTAAATTAGAGTGAATAAATGAAGACTCGGCACACCACTTCTGAAAGGTTGCCAACCCCTGTTCTATTCTATTCTAACATTGAAAACATGACGATAATAATACTTAATAATACACTAAGACAGTGTCTGTCATCCAAGGATTTCAAAACATTTTACAAACGTTCATTAGTTTAGTCTGACAACAACTCTGTGAACTAGGTAAGGGATTCATAAGAATGACGTTACCCACCGCTGAAATGCAGTCATCTCTAGAGTGAAAGACAGCAGCTGTTTAGCAGCACTCAGCAACATTACTCCATGGTTTAGGACAAGGGGGGGGGGGGAAAGAATACTGTTTTAAATTTAAACTACAACAGGCGCTTAGAGTTACCCATTTTGGAATACGGCCAAGACATAGGGGTACATTCATATAAATGATTAATACCTATATAATGTATGTTAAAATGATTTTACGTGTGAAAGGGAGGAAGGAGGATATTGGCGTTAAAGCACAGACCAGGGTTCCAGTCCCAGTTCTAGATTTGGATTCTGCTCCCAGCTCTGCCACAAGTTTTCCACGTGGCCTTAAGCAAGAAATCCAGGCTGTGTTTTTAAAACTGTCCATCAACTTTGGTGTCCAGGTTGAGACAGCGAGGGATTGATTTTCAGAGGTGCTGAGCACCCACGGTTCCCACTGACCTCGGCTGGAGTTGTGGGTGACTGAAAATAAGATTCAGATTGTCTTCAGTGGGACACCTCAAAAATCAAAGCAGCCAAAATTAACTGGACACATTTGAAAATTGTGCTTCGGTTTCCCTATCTGTCAAATGGGAAGAATAGTAGCTGCTGTACAGAGGTGGAGTGGGGGTAAATTTGTTAATGTCGGTAAAGCACTTTGAGGTCTTTGGATGGGAAGTACCATAGAGGTGCAGGGTATTCTTATAAAACAGGTTGTTAGGGTAACCTGCGACAATGCACTGCCACTGCCGTCTTTTTATTGATTGTCCTTCATCCTCACCCCCAATGTATATGTTGTGCACAGAGCACAAGCCAGCAAGCTGGGCCTTCCCTTACCTCCTTGTTTATGAATGTTCACCATTGACGGGGCCCCGTACTGCAGCCATGCAAACATCAAACTCCTATTAAAGTCATTGGGAGCTTGGAGCATGCAAGGCTTGCAGGACCGATTTACACTGATGCTAGCGTGGGTCTGGAAAGAGCGGCTGTTTAACATGTGTGCGTTCGGCTGTCCCCCCTGCCTGTGCGCTGTAAGTGGAGCTCCCGTTGACATCAGTGTTACTGGTCACATGAGCACAGATTCTGCTCACCTTTCCCAAGGTGTAGGGCTGCCAGGCGTCTGGTTTTCGACCAGAACGCCTGGTCGAAAAGGGACCCTGGCGGCTCTGGTCAGCACTGCCAGTTGGGTCGTTAAAAGTTCAGTCGGCAGAGCAGCCTGCCTGCCCTAGCTCCACGTGGATCCCAGAAGCGGCTGCCAGGTCCCTGCAGCCCTGAGGTACATAGGCAGCCAGGAAGGCTCTGTGCGCCGCCTCCGCCCGAGTGCCGGCTCTGCAACTCCCATTGGCTGGGAACCATTACCAATGGGAGCTGCGGGGGCAGCGCCTGTGGATGCGAAGGCAGTGCACAGAGCCTCCCTGGCTGTCCAGGCACCTAGGGGCTGCAGGGATCTGGTGGCTGCTTCCTGGGAGCCGCAGTATGTGCCGCCGGGACCACTCACTCTGAACCCTCTCCCGCACCCCAACCCCCTGCCCCAGCCTGGAGTTCCCTCCTGCACCCAAACTCCCTCCCAAAGCCCGCACCCCCCCACACACAAACCAACCCCTGCCCCGCCCTGGGCCCCCTTTTGCACCTCAAACTCCTCATCCCTGTCCCCGTCCCAGAGCCCATACCCCCAGCCGGAGCCCGCCCCCAGCCCCCTGCCCTAGCCCGGAGCCCTCTCCCTCTCCCTGAACCCCTCATTTCTGTCCCCACCCAGAGCCCACGCCAAGCGCCCAGAGCCCATACCACACCCCAACCCCCTTCCCCAGCCCAGAGCCCTCTCCCACACCACAAATCCCTCATCCCCGGCCCCATCCCAGAGCCTGCACCCCCAGCCAGAGCCCTCACCCCCCTGCCCCAGCCCAGTGAAAGTGACTGAGGGTAGGGGAGAGTGAGCAATGGAGGGAGGGGGGGAATGGAGCAAGCAGGGGCAGGGCCTCGGGGGAGGGGTGTTCAGTTTTGTACCATTAGAAAGTTGGCAACACTACCAAGGTGAGTAGTACCTAACAACTCCATTGGCAACTCAAGGAGTAAGATACTGTTCACCTTAAGTGAAGATGGCAGAATCTGGCCTGTGGGAGATGGTCAGTGCTGCTGGATCAGAATATAAATTTCTCAGCATCAGATTGGTGGATATTTGGAATCCAGAGGACATTCCTTCCCTGATAAATCAAATTTTGGGGCTCAATAATCTGATAGTGTCTTTTTAAGATTGCTTCCTTAGCCTCTTGCGTTACAGCGGGGGACAGTTTTCTGCCAGTCTTCGGTCCCAGTCCTGTAAACATTTACATAATGCTTAACTTTAAGCATACGACTGGTCCTAACTACTCATATACTTATAGGTTAGCACATGCATAGGACATTACAGGGTCAGGGTCTTTGGTATCAGGAAAACTTTATGAGAATTATTTTGATTTGATGTTTTCCGGTGAAATCCTGAAGTCCTCGCACAGTCATCGCTTAAGCCTTGATTCAGAAAGCACTAAAGTGTCTGCTTAACTTTAAGCTTGTGCTTATTTCCCATTGAAGTCAATAGGACTGACTGGGAGTTAAGCACATGCTTAAAGTTAAGCAGACACTTAAGTGCTTTCCTGAATCAGGGTCTTAGGCAAGACTCCAGTTGACATCAATGGGAGTTTTGCCTGAGTAAGGACTGCAGGGTTTGGCCTCTGTCTCTCATTACTTCTATTTGTCTCCTGCTCCAGGAATGTTTTAAACATTTGTGAATAATGGTTATTTTTAACCTTTTCACAGGGGTGTTTGCATTTGGACTTTTTGCCACTGACATATTTGTAAATGCTGGCCAGGTAGTGACGGGGAACTTGGCTCCTTACTTCCTGACGGTGTGTAAACCCAACTACACGGGGAGCGACTGCCGGGCTCACCATCAGTTCATAAACAATGGGAATATCTGCACCGGGGACCTGGAGGTGATTGAAGAGGCAAGGAGATCCTTTCCATCCAAACATGCTGCTTTGAGCATTTACTCAGCCCTTTACGCCACGGTGAGTGCATGTGCTGTTTGCCAGTTCCCATGACGGGCTTCGGTTGCTATAGCGACCCTGTCTCATTTAAATCTCATCTATATTTTTCTTTTGTCTGTGCTGTATGGGGGAGAGCCCTTCTTTTTTTCGTGGGGGTCAATGGCTTTTCTGGGCCAAATTCAGCCCTGGTGTAAACAAGTGCGACGCCCATGGCTTTCCCAGTGAGGGGGCAGTCTTATCTGGAGGCATGAGGGCCAGCTTGGCAGTTAGGAGATCGTCAGTTCTAATCCCGGCTAAGCCACTGACTTTATGTGGCCTAGGATGTGTCACCGCACTTCCCTGCCTCAGTTTCCTGACTTGTAAAACGGTGATGATAATACCTACCTCACAGGGAAGCTTGTTACTATTGCTTCGTGTCCGTACAATAGCGAGTGCTAAGTGTTACTATTTTGGGGGGAGTCGTAGGCTGAATTTTAATCCCCTGTTAGGCGTAAACTCCTCTTGCAAGCAAAGGTCCCATTAAAGGCAGTGTTACAATTTTGCCAGCATAATCAAGGTCAGTTTAAAGGTACAGTACAGTTTAAAGGTGATAGTGCTTTTCTGCCATATGGGGAATATTCAATGTCTGTAAAAGCCCCTCTAAAAATATCATCCACCTTTGTTTTCTCTGGCAACCTTATAACATCGTAGTGTGATACAAGACTAGTTGCAGTTTGTGCAGGGCTATTTAAGTGATGCAGTAAGGGTTATAACAGTATTGAAGACACTGGTAGTTTTGCCATTCATTGCAATGGACTAGATTCTGCCTCAGGTTGAGTAGCATCTTGATCCACAAGCAGGCTCCCCGAAATGAATGAGACTGTTCAGGAAGTTAGGTACCACTCAACATAAGAGTGGCAGAATCTGGCTCGAAGACAGCAGGATTGGGCCCAAGAAAGTTGTTCTCTCTCCTTGGCGTAGCGGCAAATGCAGGGTTTCAGTGTACTAACGCTGAATGTTTTAAATATACTTTGTTAGCTGATGAATGAGACTTAAAGGCCACTAATTATATTTAGAGTGGGAAAGACAAGGCCATTGCTGTTTTGTTTGTTGCATATTTTTCTTGTGTGTCACATGAACTATAAAAGTGACACAAAAGCATCAACTTAGCTAGCCTGGAAACGTCACCACATTAGGAGCACTTTACTTCACTAGGAATACTAGTGCACTTTACTGGCAAAAAGTGCTCCTAGTGTGGGCGGAGCTATACCAGCAAAACTGCACTTCCAACCCACACCCACTCCACCCTAAGGCCTGGTCTACACTGCGGGGGATCGATCTAAGTTATGCAACTTCAGCTACATGAATAACGTAGCTGAAGTCAACGTACTTAGACCTACTTACCGTGGTGTCGTGACTGTGGTAAGTCGATGGCTGACGCTTCCCCGTCAACTCCGCCTACGCTTCTCGCCCTGGTGGAGTACCGGAGTCGACGGGAGAGCACTCAGGGGTCGATTTATCGCGTCTAGACTAGATGCGATAAATCGACCCCCACTAGATTGATCGCTGCCCATCGATCCAGCGTGTAATGTAGACATGCCCTGAGTGAAATAAGCTATCCCAGCAAAAGTACAGTATTTCCAGTATAACTGTGTCTACACTAGGTGCTTCTGTTGGCACCGCTGTGTTGGTCAGGGATCACACCTCTTCACACCCCGACTGACACAGCTATACCTGCAAAAGTGTATAGTTTAGAGCAATATAAATTGTGTCTAAGATGCTTATTGTTATTCCCCTGACTTATGTCTTTAAATTGTGAGTTCCTTTCAGCGGGGGTTGCCTTTAGGTGTTTGGAAGGTGTCTGGCTCATCGTGAGCACTACCACAAATGATTAGTAACAGTAATGCATGAAAATAGGCTCCTGGTAGATAGACATACCCAAAGATTCTATATTGCAAGTAAACACTCGTGGCTGGCCTGTGTCAGCTGACTCAGGCTCGTGGGACTATAAAATTGCAGTGTGGACACTGGGACTTGGGTTGGATCCCAGAATCTAGGACCCTCCCCACTCGAGGGGTCCAGTTCAAGCCCAAACATCTACACCCCAATTGTAAAGCCCCGTAGGCTGAGCCCCACAACCCTGAGTCAGCTGATATAGGCCAGCAGCGGGTGTTTAATTGCAGTGTAGACATACCCTTTTGGGAGCAGCAGGTTTTTTGGCTACTTGCTTTGAGATGCAGGCTGCACACCTCTCCACTGACTCTGTCACTGACAGCCCTGCCCCCAGAACAATGCCTTTAGAGCCACGCTACCCGGTTCTCCTCCTGGCCTGCGCTACCCCCGGCTCCTCTGAGGTCCAAGACTCCACGGAAAGGGTAATACCACCCTGCGCTCAGGGCTGTGCCTACAGACATCATCTAGTTCTGAAGATGCTGTAATTTGGGAGTAGCCTGCCTGCAAACTCTTAACATGGACATACTTTTATAGCCACAAAAGGGAATGGTTTACATTACACTCATGTTTATATTGTCCAAGGTCCTTTAGGAATTATATTCAAGCCCAGTTGTACTTAATCATTTTGCCACACAGCGTGTTGGAAATGTTTTCCTGCTTGCAGTAAAGTCTATAAAAAAGGGTGGGGGCTGGTGACCAGCTGCATTAATTTAGATGGACTATTTGGGCCCAAACAGTCATTGGTGTTAACATGAGCTGAAGCCGATGGAGGTGGTGGAGTTATCTGGGTTCCTCTCTCTGGCCTGGTCTGGTGAGGCCATCTCTTAGGATGAGGATGAAGAAGGCCCAGGGTCCCAGGAGATGGTGGGGGTGGCAGTCATGAGTATGAAGCTCGCTCCTTCCCTTTCTTTCATGTTTCAGTCAGCCAGCGTTCGCATCCCCTGCTTTCAGTCAGCCAGCATCACAGTAGTGTCCATCCATATTTTCCCCCTAAAGTCTCTTTTTTTAAAGTCCCCTGAAAGGGAGGGATGGGTGGAATCCTCATTATTTTGCCCACCAGTTAGGTCTAATTTCCAGCACACCAAGTTTGGTTCACTGATTTCTGGTCCCACACTTCTTGTGTTTACCAGGCATGATTTTAAGACAGTCCTTGAGTTATATGAGTAGGCCTTTTTATTTGAACTAACCTAGTCTTTTTGTCTCCCTTTTGCACCATTTCCCATGCACGTTTATTGTTCTACATTGTTGTGACATTTTTATGAACTTTCGCTCCCTTTCACAATTGACCTCATGCGAGGCCCAATTATTACAACAGAGCCTAACACGCAATGAACTAAGTTGGATTCTAACCACCAAACAAAAATAATTGAGGGGACGGCGTATGAGTAGGTTGGGGAAGAGTAGAGCTCTGTGTGAGTCTTCCTGTCCTCCTTCAAACATCAATGGGAGCCACACATGGGGCCAGGGAGCCTACTTCAGTCATTAAACTAGAATATCCTTTGCAGATTCCTCTCCTCCAACTCCCTGGAGTGCAGAATTACGTGTCAGCTCAGTACCAGGCCCAGCTAATTGGGCTGAGGATTTGCACCAGTTGTGCAATATTTTTGCATCATTATTTTAAAATCAATGCTTTATTGACTGATGCCAGACAGGTTATGAACCAGCAAAAACCCAATTCCCGCAGCCCTTGCGTAATCCAGACACACTGACTCCAATCATATTTTGGGGGTAAGGGATGGAAGATTTTGCGCCTTCCAAGCAGGGGTGGAAGAATCTGTTTTGCCAAATTTAGAACCCACTGAAAGAAGGACTGGTTCTAGATTTAGGTCAGAGCTGGAAATGTTTGAGTTTCTGAGTTGCTTTTTTCACTGGCAAAACATCATTCCTGGGCTGCTACATTCATCTTTATTTTAGTCCCCCAGAAGCAGGGCAAGAATTGGTTTCAAAAAAGTCATTTGATTTTGCATTGCACAGGCTTCCATTTAGTTAGAAATACATGCTTTTAATTAAATTTCCTGTGGAAAAATAATAGAGTGGAAATATTTATGAGTATACGGAGTCCTGTTAATGATTTTTGGCTGAAAAATGAATGAGAGAAGTACAATTTTCATAACTGCAAATATGTGTCCTAATGTATAAATTTGTAATTGAATCACAGATACCTTTTGCTGTGTGTGTGTTAAGATGAGATCTCTCTTGTTCTCTTTTCCCTTTTATCCCTCCTCTTTTTCTATTTGCACCCCGTAAAAAAAATCCAATACATGTTTTTAATATTTAAAATCAAAATTGCTCTTGAAAAACAACAGTGTAAAAAGGAGATTTTTCAAAAGCTTCTAAGGGTTTTAGGAGCACAAGTCCCACTGGCTCAGATTGCCACTTGCACTCCTAAATCACTCAGATGCTTTTGAAAACCTCCCCCTATGTTAAGCGCGGGTGGGGAGGACGGGGGGGACGGACATGTTGTGTGAACCCTGAAAAAACATCACTAATGGTAGAGCTTCAAAAAGCTCCAGAGAATTCATAGATCTTACGGCCAGGAGGGAACATTATGATCATCTATCTCACCTCCTGTGTAATGGAGGCTGTGGAATTCCACCCAGTGAGTCCTGCATCAGGTATCCATAATGTGTGGATGAACTAGAGCTGGTCTTTTAGGAAAATATTGAGTCTTTAAAGATTTAAAGCCTTCTGGAGAAGTTACCACTTCCTTTGACAATCTGTTCTCACTGTAAAAAACGTACATCTTTTACATGTTTAGACTTTGGGGCCTTGATTTTATTAAATGCAGAACATCAATAGCCTGTCCCATCTGTAATGTCCTGTCATTTTCCCATGTGAATAATACACTAGTCTTCTCCTGCTCCCAGAAAACGAGTGTGAATGAATGTTTTCTGCCATATAGAATTGGCAGTTATCACACTAGGGCTGGGCTGATACTTTCAACTGTTATGTTCACTAGGACATTCTAAAATCACTGTGGCAGAACTTGGGTCAGGTGAAGGGAAAAACACTGCTCACAGACTCCAGTTTTGAGTCCCAGTTGATACACCTCTACCTCGATATAACGCTGTCCTCGGGAGCCAAAAAATCTTACCGCGTTATAGGTGAAACCGCGTTATATTGAACTTGCTTTGAGCCACTGGAGTGCGCAGGCCCGCCCCCCACCCCCGGAGCACTGCTTTACCGCGTTATATCCGAATTCGTGTTATATCGGGTCGCGTTATATTGAGGTAGCGGTGTACTTTGTACTATTCTCTCAAGACAGAGATAGGAAGGAGAAAAGAATTGGTGTAACTATTCATACAACCGTGCTTTATTTTGATATCATGTTCTCCATTGTTTTCCATAGAAAACCTCATAATGACTTGGCACTTTGTAACAATAGTTAGGTTCATTCCAATTTACCCATCCAGCAGTGGATCCAGAGTACCCCCTAGTGTCCCTCCTTGACCCTTACTCATCATCTGTAATTTTATAGCACTTACTGTAAATTTGTGCTGTAGATAGAGGCTGGCTTCGTGTGTATTTTGCCTTTGGAAAAAAACTTTACAACTCTCGGAGGCTTGTAATTTGAAGATGCACAATTCATTGATCAGAGCAAAAAGCTGTAACTTTATATCACAGCTTATATTCATAGATTCATAGATTCTAGGACTGGAAGGGACCTCGAGAGGTCATCGAGTCCAGTCCCCTGCCCGCATGGCAGGACCAAATACTGTCTAGACCATCCCTGATAGACATTACATATGCATCCGAAGAAGTGAGGTTTTTACCCACGAAAGCTTATGCCCAAATAAATCTGTTAGTCTTTAAGGTGCCACCAGACTCCTTGTTGTTTTTGTAGATACAGACTAACACGGCTACCCCCTGATACTAGCTACCAAAGGAACGTTCCTGCTTCTCGAGGTGTGTCTGTGGATTTGCAAACCCTCTGATGGCTCTTTCCCTGGATCAAGCCCATAATGTGTGGCTCAGGTCCATTTACAAGCTAGCAGCTATAGGGCACTACATACGAGGTAATAACTTACCAATGAATATTACAGTTGGATCATCCTGATCATCCCAGTCTCTGGACAAAAGCCCCTTGGTCCCCATCGCCCTTGGAAGTGGCACTGCAGTGCCTAGTGTTTATGGCACACTAGAGAAATCTGTTGCTGGAGTCCTTTTTGACAAGCAAAATAATAGCACACTTGATGCGTTTGCTTTGCTTAACAAAGCCAAGCTATGTTTGGAAGCCATAAAGAAATTCACGCTTAACCCATCACTGAGGAGGATTCCATTGTGTTTACTTGGTTATCATTATGCTGTCAAATTTTGTTTGTTGTTACAGTATCCTTGTATTCATGCTACTCCTGTAATCACAGGCTCTGAGATTAGTGCATGGCTGTTAATTGCTCCTCACATCGTTTATTTTCTTTGTCAAAAATGCCCTTAAAAAAATGAGCTGACACAGCTTGTGGAGTTTACTGAACCGATATTTCTGAGCACAGGAAAACTTCTTACCATGTAATTACATTTTCAGAGTTCTCCTTTGTTAAAAACCACAACAAACCCTCCCATACTCTTCTCCACTTCTGTCACTTATTAAGTCCCAAAGTCAAAACAAAGGCCCATGGCAAGAAAAAGGGCGTGATTGGTTGCTTTTTAACACCCAGGGTCTGGTTTTGGTCACATGTGCGCCTACTTTGCACGGGTATGTGTCTGCCAAAATTGGGGATTTGCATCTGGCTGGGTAGATGCACAAATCGCTGACTCACATGCACACATTCAATAGCCTCTATGTAATATAAGTGTTCAACTGCACACGTGCAAATTCTTGTGCGACTTTGGTAGCCAAAGGAACGGCGCCCTTTTAGACCAGCCCTGACTGCCCTATTGCTGGCTATAGTTGAGTGGATGTTAGACATGCTGAAGCCATCTGTCTGCAGTATCTGTTTTCCCTTCTGAGGCCCCTCTCTTTGGCCTTGGCTACACTGGCGCTATACAGCGCTGCAAGCTACTCCCCTCAGAGAGGTGGAGTACTTACAGTGCTGCGAGAGAGCTCTCGCAGCGCTGGCGGCGCGACTACACTCGCGCTTCACAGCGCTGCCGCAGCAGCGCTGTGAATTGCCAAGTGTAGCCAAGGCCTAAGCTACACAACCCCCTGAGAGTGCCAGAGTTCAGAACATCTGTCCCATTCCTGCTTGGCACAACATGCGTAGATGAAAAATGACCTGTATGTTTGTCCGAGCCCTTTCATGTGTGGCTTGCGCTGTGTTTTCAGATGTACATCACAAGCACAATTAAAACAAAGAGCAGCAGACTAGCAAAGCCTGTGCTGTGTCTGGGGACCCTCTGTGCTGCCTTCCTCACCGGGCTAAATCGAGTTTCCGAGTATCGAAACCACTGTTCGGATGTGATTGCAGGCTTCATCTTGGGAAGCGCGGTAGCGTTGTTTCTGGTAAGCCAATTAGTCCTCTTCCAATTTCAGGACAATCTAAAGTCAAAGAAAAATTCTTATGGTAATTCTGTAGTTGTCTTTCACAGCTGATTACTCAACCCACACCCTGTAACTGCTAATTCTAGTGTAATGTAATAGGATTTGCTCTGAAGATAAATCCAAACACGAAATCAGACTTGTATCTACACACATTTTCGAGTATTTTAATCACTGCAAAGTGCCGACTCTGAAGCCGTCCTGGGAAAGCACTTCTGGCATGCAGAAGAATGCAGCAGGTGCAAAAAGGGCAGCATGGTTTCCCTAAGGCTACTGCCTATGTGAGTCATGGCACCTATGCTTCACAGCCTCGTTGGCTGTCTGTTGTTTGGCAGATGTGGGATTTGAGATCTTACTTTGAGTGTATAAGGCTCTAAACAAAGAGCCTGGTTTTCCACTTTGTTACAGGGGAATCACACAGACTTAAAACAAGTGTAACAGAGAGGAGAATCAGGTAGGCTCAAAGCTGAGCCAATCTGGGAGACGTGTATCTCCGGGTACGTCTATACTTACCGCTGGGTCCGGCAGTAAGCAATCGATCTTCTAGGATCGATCCCGGAAGTGCTCACCGTCGACGCCGGTACTCCTGCTCCGCGAGAGGAGTACGCGGAGTCGACGGGGGAGCCTGCCTGCCGCGTCTGGACCCGCGGTAAGTTTGAACTAAGATAGTTCGACTTCAGCTACGTGAATAACGTAGCTGAAGTTGCGTATCTTAGTTCGAAGTGGGGGGTTAGTGTGGACCAGCCCTCCCACTCTGGCACTTGAGACTGGGGATTTGGGATGATTCTTCACCCCCATGAGATGACATGGGATAGTCAACAGTGCCAGCCAGGGATCTCCCCATCAAAGGCCCATGGGTCTGGAATGCTCACAGTGCCCAGGAATGGCATCTTTCTGGATGAGACCTCAGACTTCTTGTTCCCTCGTTAGCTAATTCAGGTATTTGCATTGAGAAATGTGCCCGGTTCCAATTAAAATTAATCACAAAACCTCCAGAGTCCTCTGCCTTTGAATGCTTAGCAATGAACATGCGTTACTGCCCAGGTGTGCTGCTGTGTGACCTGCCGGATCTGAAACAATGTGACTCCAGTGAAACATCCTTTCAGAAATACAGCAGCCCCTGCGAACAGCAGTGCAAGCACCACACAGGGAGGAGGCAAAGATCAGGCCTGGAATGGGCAAGTGTGTCCTTAACTAGGCATGAGACTGACATGTTCTTTGCTTTAAACCGTGAATAATTGAGCCTGGTGTCATCCAGGAGTGATCCTTGCACTTTTCATGGAATGGGAGGTTGCAAATGTTACTTGCCTGGGAATCACATATCCTGATGCAAAATTTGGCCTGTAGAGTTCAGTGCCAATTACAGTTAGTGGTTCTGAAAGAGTAACACAATTATAATCAAGGCTTCTGTTCTCTAGACCATCATAAAATAACAGTAAGAATGGTTCATCTCCACAGGTAACAATTACACAGGCTAGGTTACTGAAAGAGCCCCTTGCTCCCAGCTATGTCATTCACGTTGCCCGTAGTCCAGTTCTGAGAAGGGGATGGTTAGGAATCAAATCCCTCTACAGGCATACCCAGAACTTTGAAAGAATTTGGCTCAGGACCCAAATTTGCTGTTTCGAGTTAATGCTTGGAAGGCAAAGGTTCCAGTTAATACCTACCGGTGGAGGTTATATGATGACTTAGCTCTTTTTTCCACATCATGCAGGGAATGTGTGTTGTCCATAACTTTAAAGGAACACATGGAGCGCCTTCTAAACCGAAGCCTGAAGATCCCCGAGGGATGCCCCTCATGGCTTTTCCAAGAGTGGAAAGTCCCCTGGAGACATTGAGTGCACAGGTACCGTAAATCCCTAAGTCACAGTCAGTCATCAGAAACATTGTCAGGCACAGCTGAGTAAAAGCACCTTTTAACCTCACTGTAAACACGCAATTGTAGGGCCAATTTCATCCCCAGTATAACTCCACCGAAGACAATGGAGTTATACCAGAGACGAGTTCGTTCCATTATACATATCTATTAACATATCCCTTGTGTCCCAGCCTTGTAGACTTCAAATGCCACAGAGAACACATCTACAGCTGAAGAGGCAGGATTTAGCAAATGCAATCAATGACAATGAATCTTCACTTATGTTGCTTGGGGAATAAACTTTCACCCTTTCCTTGTGTGCTTGGGCAGAGAATTAGGGGAGGAAGGTAGATAATTCCGTCTCATTACATTTTGGAACTCTCTCCGTACAATGCCTCTGTTTCCTGTAAATCTGACACTCATGTACATAATCCAGAACACAGACTCAGATGTGCTGTACAATGGTCCTAATCCTGGGACAGATCCTGAGCCCTCACACCCCCTCTTCATTGGCCATTGGGATGCTCAGCATCTTTCGTAATAATAACTAGCAAACCATTCTCTAACTCAGCAGCAGAAAAACAGAAACTTCCTACGTGTTTGCAACTGAGTAATGCAGGATGAGCATTTTTTTTCTGCATTTACATTGATGCTCCCCTTTTCACTTCCATTGTTTGTACGGTGTAACCAAGAAGACTTTGCCCCCAGTAATTACTAGGAACATGAAGAAGCTGCAGTTTATTAGATTAACTTCTTCCAGGCTGCCTAATGTAACAGGTTTTTGCTTCAAAATACACCTGTTGTGTCCTACATATTGTTCCTGGTAAAGAAACGCTAGTACTTAAGAGAATGGCACTGCATTCTGCAGAAATGAAATTATGTACAGATATTACAGATGTACAGCAAATGAGGGATTTTCCTCAGGGAAATTTTGACTTTATGTCAAAAAAACCCCTGAAAACCAGCCTGGTAAGCATACGCTGTGTATATGGAAACATTAGTGCTTTGTCTTTTCAGATACAGATACATATCTGGGGCTTTTTGATATATGTGGCATAAATAAAGGAGACCAAAGGCTTCCTTCTAGGTGTAAGAATTGCCAAAAGGCCTGATCTAAAGCCCAATGAAGCCAATGAGCGTCTTTCCATTTGCTTCGGTGGGCTCTGGATCAGGCTGTAAAAACACCTACACTGAGTAGGCCCAGAGTGGGGTTTTACATTATGGTTTACCATCCAAGTGGTTACCTATTGCACTAATTCTCCAAATGTGGGAAAGGGATCCACCCCCAACTGCACAGGTTTCTGCAGATGGCCCCACTTAATTTTCCTTTGCGCTCCCCAAGTACCGTAGTTATGGAATGGCCCTACCAAACGGATGTCCCATCCCCTCAAAGCAGCACGGTGAGGGGAGGTTGTGTCTACCCCGGTATTATTACCCTGGCTGTGTCTGCACAATATGCACCTCTCCATTGCTTGATCTTTTTGTTGGATTGTTGCTGGCTGTGCATTGCTATGCTGGATTTATTCCACCTCTATGCGTGTGTTACCCGGGGTTCTTTCAACCCAAAGCTCTTAGTAACTTTTACTCTGTGCGAGGAGGTGTCAGGAAATAAATCAGGGGCGACATGGCCGTTCAACCGATAGATGGCTGGCACAAACAGGACAACACAAAGAGTGCTTTCACTTAAAGCTAAACTTTACTTACTCTCAAGCACTTACACACGTCCGCAACAAGATTAGTAAAACACCCCCAACCCTGGATAATTACCAAAGCTGAGTGTGGCTTTCGAGTGACACAGCGGCAGACTTCTGGTGGCCAAATCTTCCGTCTGCTGGTGGGGACCGCAAGATGTATCCAGAGAAAGAGTCCAGAAGAGTCCCCAAACGAGTCCAACTATCTCAAGCTTTTCCCCCTTATTTATACATTAGTAATAGAATGACATGTCCCTTAAAGAAACCTTGTTAAGTAAGCCGTTTCAATGATCAAGCAAGAGGTTCCTTCTGATTATTGAGTAACCAGGTGTGGGTTTTTCCAGAGTTTGCAGCCTTGAGACCCCAATAGACGTTCCTTGGGCACGTCCTGCTCTTTTAAAATGCATGTATCAGCAACTTCAACACAATTCTTATCAGGAAGGACACGGGGTCAAGCTGCCCTTAGTGTGGCACCCCAAAAGTCCCCCCCCCCCAGTCAAGCTGAGACTGCTGAATGGCCAATCTACAGCTTGCTTTTAACAATAAGCCATAGTGGTTTGGGGCACTTTAGTGGTTTGCCGAAGTCTCCCCGTACACACGGGTCAGCTCTACATTATATTTCCTTGCCCCCTGACGTGAATTCGCCTAGCACTACAGGATCATCAAGCGGGGCAGGACTCAACATGCCCCCTTTTACCCTTTCCCCCCATGTGCACAGTTTGCATGGGCAGCTGGACCATTTCCTGCAGAGCTCTGCATGCTTGAGGACAGAACTGTTAGACAACATTTACATCCAGTGCATCTTGAGTCACGCTCCTTTGTAGCTGCACTGGCACCTAGAATCATAGACTATCAGGATTGGAAGGGACCTCAGGAGGTCATCTAGTTCAACCCCCTGCTCAAAGCAGTCCCCAGACAGATTTTTGCCCCAGATCCCTAAATGGCCCCCTCAAGGATTGAACTCTCAACCCTGGGTTTAGCAAGCCAATGCTCAAACCACTGAGCTATCCCTCCCCCCTGTCCATGGATAGAGCTTAGTCCAGTCCATAAGGAAGGGCGAACTCTCCCTGGGGTTGCATTTATTACTGAAGTCCCCAGAGATTCCAAATTAGGAATATGACGGGCACCAAGATTCTCAAGAGCCACACAGTGAGTGTGGGTAGCCCAATTCTGCAGTGCCCAATGTGGGGCCTGATTTTCAGGGGGTGGGAGGGGAGGGTGCTCAGCACTTTGAGAACCAGGCCCCTTTAAAGTGTCTCAAGTTAGGCACCCAAAATCACTAGTCCCTTTTGGAACTCTTGGCCCGGGTTAAAAATCAGCAATGATACCTTTGCTGTGATCTTTTCTTTTTAAGCTCTTAAGAGATGGAGGGACTATTTCCTGATGAGTCCGTGTACAGATTCTTCCCCGCCCTTTCAAATATCTAGCCACCCTAATCAAAATGGATTGAAAGCTTTCATGTGTTTTCATTTTCCTCTCTGTAGAATCACTCTGCCTCTATGACTGAAGTAACCTGAGCTGGAAGATGGCAAGAGAAGCTATTTTTATTACCCTTCAGTACAATGCTCCAAGACACACAGTTACTAAATGTCCAACTGTGACGACCAGTATTATGTTATGTCTAGTTAGAGGCTGATGTTTTGTACATTTTTTGTATGAGGAAGTGATGTAGCTTGCCCTGATTTTTTTTTGTCAGCTTTAATATATTTATGCCAGAATTTAAAAACAAAAACAAAACAAACAGAACCCAACCTCTTTTCTTGTTTAAAGTGTGCACTGAGGAACTACATCTATGGAATTGTTGATGTTGTTATGTGATATTTGTACACAGACTTTTTTTTGTTTTATATACATTGAAATAAAATAATTATAATAATTCACTTTTACCTTTTGTTATCATAGGAAACACTTCGGACAAAGGGACAGATTCTGATCTCAGGAATCTTAGTGTAAATCTGTATTAGCGGCATAAAGATACGTCAGATTTGGCTGAGATCAGGAATCTAGCCCGAAGGGTACTGACAACAAGTAATAAACCCTCAGGCTCTGATTCAACCAGTTACTTAAGCATGCGCTTATCTTTAAGTATGGGAATAGTCCACTTGAAATTGATGGGACAACTCATGTGCTTAAAGTGAGGAAGGTGTTTAGACTCTTGCTGTATCAGGGCCTGATTGAACTGGGGCAGGAGGAAGATTGTGCTAATTCTTAGAGAATAACTAAACTAATAGGGTCAGTGTTTTTAAAAATGCTAGAATATTCTGCAACGATGACCCACAGTACTCCAATTGACAAGAGCATTGGTGCGGGGCCCAATTCCACCCTCAGATATAAGCACACAACTCCTACTTGAAGTCAGATGTGCATATTTAAGGGCAGAAATAGGGCCATATGGGCTTGAAGCCATTACTGGGGATTTGCACAGTATTTTTCTGAGGTGGGCATGTCCATGTTTCATAACTGCATTATGGTGTCATAACATGAACCTTGCATTTAGTCTGTGTCCTTAGTTACACTGGTGCAAATGAAAAGCAAAACCACTAAAGTCAAGGGAGTTACTTGGGATTTGGACTGGTGTGACCAAGCGGTCAATTTGGCCCTGATGATCTCCATGGGGTCTGGCACGCTGTTTCATTCAGAGCCTCCAATGAGCCATAAGAATAAATGGCACAGTCCATAATCGCTGAGTCTGCATTTTTTGTAAATCATATCGTACAGAGTTTTTAACAAACCTGCTCTTTTACAGTTTGCACAGTATTCTTAAAAATAAACTAAGGGGAGCCCATTTACAACAAACAGAACCAGAGCAATAGTTTCACTTTGTGGCTTTTACTTGTTCCTAGGGGTTTCCTGCCTCTCGTTTTTCTAGCATGCTGATAACTGATGTATATCCCTTTTAAGGAATGGAGCCTCTCTGTACTTTCACTGGAATGTTTACCTGACTCTTCCAAGTTGGTGGTTCTTGGCTTTTTTGTATACCGTATTTTTTTTTCCAAAACCGATGGGGGGGGGGTGAAATCACAAAAAAAACTTGCATCCAGGGTTCTGTCATTTGTTTTTTGAAGAAATGCTGGGATGGTTCTTTGTGTCTTGCCTTACACGTGACTCTTCTGGCTTGGTATTGTCTTGGGAATCTACTTTTTGCCTTGGGAG